GCAAACCTAACGGTGGCAGCGGCGGTGCCTCCGCGGCGTCGTCGGGCACTAACTTACTCTTTTCTTCCTCGGCCACGGAATTCAGCTTCAACGTGCCCTTCATCCCAGTCACTCAAGCCGCCGCTGCCCCGGCCTCCCTGCTCTTGCCCGGAGGTAGAAAAGGGGGGCGGTCCCGAGGGCTGACTGTGGGGAGGCGGATGGGGGACGTGGAGTGGGGAGGGTCAGACGGGAGGTTTTCGTTCTACTTCCATCAGCCCTCTGAGGAACGTGACGTGGCCAGTAGTAGTCAGATTTGAGAGGGCCAGGCTTTGGGGTTTTTGGAAAGCCATGAGGCTTCCTCTTCGTCGGAGGAACCTCCTCTGTTCTGAGTTGTTCAGAGTGCTGGGCCCTATGCGCTGGCATTCTGCAGGTCTTCCTTGAACACCTACCGGTGTGGCAGGTCCTGGTAGGGGACGCAGGGCCTTCTGGGTTACAGGGCGATCTTCTGCCAGAAGACTCCGTACATACAGAGGGTATCTCCTAGGATGGTCAGTTCTCCTCTCCTAGGATAGACATGTAATGTACGCAAAGGAGAGCTGTAGAGGGGCTGGCGGGTGGCATGGTGGTTATGATGCTGGACTCCTACATGGCTGACCGTGGTTCAAGTCCCAACCTGGTGGCTTACTTTCTCACTCTCTGTCTCTGTCATCAAATTAAAGGAAATAATGATGAGTGAAATTAAATAATTTTTTAAAAAGTAGAAATGAAAGTGTATTCCTACGTCATCTTTCAAGATGGTCCGTTACTTCTCTAAGATGCTTTTTCTCTCTTAGGCCCCACTGTTTTGTGCTTCTGTAGCTCTCTGTCATATGTATATTATTTTTCGGTATTGATGTGAGACCATGGTTAGGAACACGGACTTTCCACGTGAGGGACTTTGAAGGGTTTTACACAAGGCAGTGGAATGAGAGGTTCAGGTAGACTGGAGTTTTCTCAGATTACACTGGACTAAGGCTGATAGGAGCAAGAGTGGTCAATCTGGAGGCCATTGCGAGCTGCAGGAAGAGTGGATGGCACTCTTGCTTGTCAGCCATCGTGGGTATGAAGAGCAGGGAACAGAGGTGAGAGAATTTTAGATTATAAAATTGTAGATTTAGTGCCTCACTGGAGGCCAGGCTTTCTGTTCTGGCTATCAGCACAGAAGCCTTTTTCTTTCTTTCTTTTTTTTTTCTTTAAAGAATTATTTTGTTTAATTTTATTGATACATTCATTTCTTTCTTTCTTTTCTTTTTTTTTTTTTTTTTTTTGAGAGTTTTTTGCTATAGGGCACACGCACTTGACAGAAAGACAGAGACAGAGAGACAGAAAGCAAGAAATCACCCCCCAAGGGGGATGGCCACACCACAATCCCTTCTCCTCCATTCTCCTCTTGGGATCTTGGGCATGCACACACACGTGCCCGGCGTGAGTTTAAGCTACCAGGTCCGTGACGTGAACCACAGTCAACTACGTGGGAGTCCAGTGACATAGCCATTACGCTAACTGCTGGTCCCATTCATTTATTTTTTTTTAAATAATTATTTTTTATTTAGTTCTATTGATTGTCATTATTTTATTTTTTATTTTTTTGAAGTTGACCAGAGAGAGACAGAGAAGGAAAGTGAGAAAGCAAGCTGCCAGGTCTGGGACTCTGTCCGTGGTCAGCCATGTGGGAGTCCAGCCACCTTAGCCACCATGCCACTTGCTGGCGCCATCATTTATTTATTTTTTAATTTGTCCAGAGAGAGAGAGAGAGAGAGAACGAGCGCATGAGTGTGTGCGAGAAAGCAAACTACCAGGTCTAGGACTCAAACTGTGGTTGGCTATGTGGGAGTTTCCAGCACCTTAACCACCACACCACCTTCTGGTCCCCAGAGGCTTCTTTTCATTCTGTAATTTTCTCTTTCTCTTTTAAAATTGTTTTTGTTTAGTTTTAATCTTAAGACTGAACTTTGTGTGTGGCACAAAATGGATTCTGTGTATTTCTCAAACAAATATCTGAATGATTACATGAAGTGTATTAGAAGAAAGAATCTGAGAGACTTGAGGTTTCTTGTTTGCATGTCTGAATGGTTATTGGCAAACATCTATTGAGAAAATGAGATGGTAGAAAGGACATAGGGCAGTTAAGATATTTTGCTTGTAAATTTTGCTAAGTTTGGGGTGTATGTGGCTGAGTCTGCTGTAAGTATTGAGAAAATAGTTTGAACATAGGTTCTGGAACACGTGAGAACAGTCTGAATTTGAGATGGAATTGGGATGGCACAAGTCAACAAGTACTCATTAAAATTGTGGATCTAGGGCCAGCTAGTGGTATGGTGGTTGGGGTAGCTGGATCCCACATGGCTGACCTTCCAGTTTGAGTCCCACACCCAACTTCTTGAAAAACATGCTGGACACATGCATGTTTGTGCACCAAACCCTGAAAGGAGAAACAGAGAAGGGATTGTATTATGATCATCCTCCGTGGTGGGATAGAATGCTTTCTTACTTTCTTTCTATCTTATCTTTCATTCTTTTCTCTCTCTGACAACTCAAGCATCCTCTGGTAAATTTAAAACAAAATGAAAAGTTGTGGATCTACATGGTTATGCATGTTCTTGTGAAATTAGAAAGGGCTGCTGAAGTGAGGCTAGTATTTCATCTGAAATTGACACTAGTCAGAAAAAGACATCTCAGGCTAGGTCAATCTCAAGTTCTCTTAAAATGTGAAAAATAGTACAGAGGTTTTTTCCCATGCTTTTTACCCCCCCACACTTTTTTTTTTTTTTTTTTTGATTTAGTTTATTCCTTTGATGAGGAAGGGGTAACAGGAGAGAGGAAGAGATGAACATTGACGTAGGCAGGCACCCTTAACAGAGTCCTCATGCTAGTATCCTCCCCCCGTGTTAGCCAGCCAGGATAACAGCAAGCCAGCATATACAGGGAAACCTTAATATTGATCTGGGATCTTCCCATATGACTTCAGCATTGGGGAGTGTTGTGTTACCTGTATGCTACTGCGTCTGTTCTTTGTGTTGTTTTTAAAAATTTTGCCAGAGTGTGTGTGTGTTTTTGGGTGTGGTGGGGAGAGAAAGCAAGCACCCGCCATGGGGAATGATCATGTCACAATTCCTTCTCCATTCCTCCTTCCTTTTAGGATTTTGGGCACATACATGTATGCATCCAGTATGTTTTTCAAGCTGCTGAGTCTGGGACAAACTGCACGGTCAGTAGGCTATGTGGAATCCACTCACCTTAACTACTATGCCACAGTCTGGCCCCCATGTTTTTAATTGTTGGGAGTTGAATGAAGGAATACAGTGGGGAAAAGAAAAAGAAGAAAAGCAATGCACATGAGTCCAGATGAGGTTTGTGGACTGAAAAGAGGGATGAAAACTGCAAGTAGGAAAAGTAGACTAGTACAGATAAAAAGAGCCTCCTGCAGGAAGTAATATTTCATATTTAGTTACTAAAAAGCATGTAGGAATATTTAAAAATTTTCAAAAATTTTACTTATTATATTAATATTATTATTATTATTTAATTTGACCAGAGAGAGACAGAGACAGAGAAAAAGGGAAAATAAGAAAGCAAACTGCCCGGTCTGGTACTCAAATCATGGTTGGACATGTGGGAGTCCAGTGCCTTAACCATCACTCCACTTGCTGGCCCCAGAGAGGAATATATGAATAGTGGAGTATTTTTGTTAAATTGATGTGTGTGAAGTATAGTTGAGAGCAGCCTGGGATCTCAAGCCAGAATCTCTTAAGAGTCCTGTGGTCTCCTTCCAACAGAGATCAAGACAGAACCCAGAGCTTGAAAGAAGGCCTCTTTTTGGCAGATCTCCAAAGGCAGGGACCATAGTGTGCCTTTTTTGCTACAAGCGGGTCTACCCCTCTGATGGCCTCTGTACCTTCAGCAATGGGATATAAGAGGGAGAGATTGGGGGCTGACAGGTGGCATGGTGAAGGCGCTGGACACTTCCACATGGCTGACCATGGTTTGAATCCTGGACCTGGTGGCTTGTTTTCTCATTTTCCTTCTCTCTGTGTCTATCTTTGGTCAAATGAAAATAAATGAATGAATAAATAAAATTAAATAATTCTAAAAAAAAGAAAGATTGGGAGGGGAGAGAGGAAAACTATAAGCTGCACCATGAACGGTTAGTAAGGAAGGGTAGGGTGGACTTTTGAGGTCATGTAGAGGGAAAATGTTTTTAATTTTATAACTTTAGGGGCCAGTCAGGTAGCTTGGTGGTTAAGGTGGCTGGATCTCACATGGCCGAGTATGCAGTTTGAGTTCTGAACCTGGCGACTGGATAAACAAGCCAGATGTGTGTGAGTATGTACCCAAAATCCTGAGAAGAGAATGGAGGAGAGGAGATTGTGGTGTGGTCATCCCCTCCCGGGGAGGGGGGTGCTTTCTCATTTTTCTCTCTTGTGCTTTCTGTCTCTCTTGGGTGAGCACATATACCCTATAGCAAGGTAAAAAACTTTTTTTTTTTAGAACTTTAGCAGAACAGAAGAGAAATTGTTTGGAGTTGATAATACTCACAGTGAAGATCAAGTTAGGCAAAGGGGAGAGAGGAGAACATAATGTCCCTTGGTTAAGAAATGATTTTTCTTGTTGTTTGAGGTTCTGTAATGCCTAATTATCTGATTGTCATAGTGCATGGTTTTAGAAATGGCAATGAATAGTTGACCTACTTTGCCTTGGGAATACAAATGCCACATGTTCGTTTGTACAGTAAGTGCTTTGTAGGTAAGAGCCCTGACACACCCCTTCTTGTCAACAGAGCTAATATCTGTGCTCTAGTTTGTCATAGCTGTATAAATAAAATTAGGTATATTTGGGCAGTAGAATAATAAGAATTATTTCTTACCAGGAAAATAAAGATTAAAAATAACATGTAAAAATAGGTAGAGATTTTCACTCTTAATTTTAGAAGCTTTTCTATACAAACATATGTATGTATATATTTAGTTTAGCATCTATTTATTTACTTGTTGTGATATGTGAGCTGCCAGGTCTAGGACTTGAACAATGGTCAGCCATGTGGAAGTCCAGCGCCTCAGCTACCATGCTGCCTGCCAGCTCCACAAATATATGTACTTATAAAATAAGCAGTAAATCATTATTTATTTAAAAAGAGTGAAAGGGTATGAACCACAATGTTAACAGTGTTAACAATGATTGTCTCTGGGAGATGGGCTTATGAATGAATTATAATGTTTACCTCCATTTGTTTTTATTCTTATTTTCTAGTATTTTGTTTCAGAGAAAAAAGTTTTCAAATAAATCTTGTTTTTCTTTGTAATGTTGAAATATTTATAAGTTTGAACAACAAACTAAGAGGTACAATTGCTACTTCTTCCTTTTAGAATCATGTCTACAGAATGGTACAGTAGTCTTTAAACCATTTACTCTTCCGTTTCAGAGGATTCTACAGATGTTGGTGAGGAGGACAGCTTCCTTGGCCAGACTTCTATTCACACATCTACTCCACAGACATTTAGTTACTTCTCTCAGGTATCAAGCAGTAGTGATCCTTTTGGGAATATTGGACAGTCACCATTAACAACTGCAGCCACACCGGTCGGACAGTCAGCATTCTCCAAGCCCCCGACTGCTCTCCCTTATACAGCTGGATCCCAAGAAGTGGTAAATGCTTTTTCTCCATCCGTTTCGAAGGCTCAGTATGGTGCTCCACCTTCCTCACAGATGGGACTGAATTCTTACCTGCCTTCTCAGCCGAGTAGTAGTCTCCCTCCTTCGAATTTTGGAAGCCCACCTCAAGGAACTCCCCAACAAGGATACAATCCGTATCGCCATAACCCTGTCAGTAGCAGGGCTAATCCTTACATTGCACCGCCACAGCTGCAGCAGTGCCAAACACCAAGCCTTCCCACTCATCTTCCACCCTCTGGGCCCTCTGGACCCCCCGTACAGATGTACCAGATGCCTCCAGGATCCTTGCCACCGGTATAGAGACATGTTTTTATATCTAACTGTTCACTTTCATTTTTCTGTCTCATGTTAGTTTGTGTCTTAAAATATATTGTTCATTCTACAATTAATATGTTAATATGGTGATAAGTTATTTTCAGAGATATTCTTAATTAGATAATTGGGTCGTTTGATAAGTCACAATGCATTTTTTGCATAGAAAAATAACATCATGACTTTTCTGATGACCCAATACATATTTTGAAGTAAACGTTCTTCTAAAGACAGCTCAGTGGATGGTTCTTATTTTAGTTTATATTACCGGTTTGCTGAAGTAGTAATTGATTTTAATGAATTAGCTGCATGCCAAAATTTTTAAATTTTAGTGTAAGATACCAATAATAACTGTCATCTGGTACTTGTGAGAACTGAACCAATGATCATGTTAACAGATTGCCAGCTTCTCATCTTTTAATTATACTGTTCAATCAAAACACACAATTTACAAGAACTAAAATGGATTATCCTAGTCATTTATTTATAGAGTATAGATCTAGAGTAACATCTGCATTGGTTAAACTTTATGAATTTCCATGATCCTTTTTTTATTCAGCTGTTAAACTGACTTTCCAAAGAAAATAAACTGAATTAAAAAAAAAAAGAAAAAGGATTACAGTCCCCACAGCATAGCATAGCATAGCAGTTAAGCCCTCTTCTTTAGGAGCCAGATCCCACATGGCCAATTATGGTCCTGGTGGCTTAAAAAAATGACAGATTTATGTGCATGTGTGTTCCTAATCCTGAAATGATGGCGAAATGGAGGGAATAGGACTGTAGCATGAACACACCCCACTGGAAGGCTTTCTCTCTCTCTCTGTCTCACTCTCTCCCCCTCTCTTTCATGAGCACACATGCCCTCTGGCAATGAAAAGAAAATCTGAACAGGGGCTAACCCCATAGTTACTACACATGACTGATCAAGGTTTGACTCCCCACCCAAAATCTCTATGGAATGGAGAAATGGAGGAGTAGGTGATCATGTCCTATTGGGAGATTTTTTTTTTTTTCCTTCTCTCTCTCTCTTTCTCTGTCTCTGGTCAGCATGTGTGCCCTCTAGCAATTAAAAAAATTTTTTTAAAGGGCCAGTGAATGGCATGGTGATTAAGGTGATTGTATCCCTCATGACCAGTTGTATGTTTTGAATTTTGGACATGGTAACCTGAAAAACTTGCTGGTGGGAACCAGCAGTTAGCGTAATGGCTATGTCGCTGGACTCCCACGTAGTTGACTGTGGTTCGCTTCCCGGACCCGATGGCTTAAAAATCACACCGGGTGTGAGTGTGTGCGTGCCCAAGATCCCGAGAGGAGAATGGAGGAGAAGGGATTGCGGCGTGACCATCCCCTCTGGGGGGTGATTTCTCGCTTTCTGTCTCTCTGTCTCTCTCTGTCTGTCTGGCGAGCGCACGTGCCCTATAGCGAAAACCTCTCAAAAAAACCAAAAAACAAAAAAAAACAACTTGCTGGTCACGTGCATATGGATGCCCTGCCCGAGATCCTGAAAGGAGGGAAAGACGACGGAGAAGGAATTGTGGTATGACCACCTCCATGGAGGGTACTTTTTAACTCTCCTCTCCTCCCCTTCCCCCCCTCTGGCAAACACATGCACCCTCAGGCAAAAAAGAAAAAAAAATTCAAGAAAAATTGCAGAAATAAAAGTAGCACCAAGAACACTCTAATATCCTTTATTCCAGACTTACCTATCACTAACATTTTATTCTATTTGTTTTTTTACCCAGGTTTACCTGTCATTAACATTTTATCCTGTTTTGCAATCTTCCTGCATCAGCCTGCTGAGTAGCTGAGACTACTAGCAGGTGCCCTAGTGCTAGTAGTCTTTTAGGAGGAGCAGGAATTGAGCCCAGGGCTCCCATGTGGCCTCATCCTGCTGAGAAGCATTGTGTGCCAGGGTGTGCTGTGTGGTTGGGCCCCATCCATTTGTTTATTTGTGCATGTACACACTCTTGTGTTTTTGAACCACTTCCCTCTCTTTCTGCTCCTCTGTTCCACTTTCTTTCTTTCTCTATATATAAGACGGAAACTCAAAAGGTTTGTGAATTGAAGATAAGTTTATTTTGGTGCAAAGAATTTTGAAATTCATGCATAATTTTTTAGAGTTATTTAACTTTATTTATCATTATTTAATTATCATCATCATTATTATTATTATATTTTAATTTGACCAGAGAAAGTGAGAAAGCAAGCTGCCAGGTCCAGGACTTGAACTATGGTTGACTATGTGAGTCCAGTGCCTTAACCACCATGCCTGCCCCTATTGCTTTTTTTTTTTTTTTTGATCAGAGAGAGGTAGAAAAGGAAAATGAGAAAGCAAGCCACCAGATCCAGGACTCAAACTGCAGTCAGCCAAGACCCAGGGGGGTCCAGTGCCTTAGCCACCACACCACCTGCCAATCCCCCAGTGTGTGTGTGTTTTGTTTTTTTTTTTAAAGAATTATCTATTTATTTAATTCCATTAGTTATTATATTTTAATTGTTTAAAATAACTATTTTTTTAATGTAACTTTATTTTAATTTGAGAAGAGATGGACAGAGTGAGAGACAGAGAAAGAGAGTGAGACAGCAAGTTGCCAGGTCCGGTACTTGAACTGTGGTCAGCCATGTGGGAGTCCAGTGCACTTAGCCACCATGCCACCTGCCGGTCCCAGTTATTATTTTTAATTTGATTAATGAGACAGAGAAAGGGAAGGTGAGAAAACAAGCTGCCAGGTCTGGGACTCATACTGAGATCTGCCACGTGAGATTCCAGTGTTTTTATCCACCACCTGCCGGCCTCCCAGTGTGTTTTTCAAGCTTCCGGCTCTATGACACGAACAGTGTGTTTTTCAAGCTTCCGGCTCTATGACCCGAACTGTGGTGTTGACCATGTGAGATCCAACTGCCTTGACAACTTCGCCACCATTTTTAATGGCTCTAAAGAATTCCAGCATTCGGGGCCAGTAGGTGGCATGGTGGTTAAAGGCACTGGACTCCCACATGGCCGACCACAGTTCAAGTCTCAGACCTGGTGGCTTGCTTTTTCACTTCCTCTTTCTCTCTCTCTCTGTCTCTCTCTGATCAAACTGGAAAATAATAATGATAATAATAAATAAAGTTAAATAAAATAATTCTTAAAAAGAAGAGACCTTTAAAAAAAAAAGAATTCCAGCATTTGATTGAAATAGAATTTCAGGTTTCCTTTAGACATTTAGATTTCAGTGATTTTTTTATTATAAATAACTTGTGGATTATTTTCAGTCATGTTTGTAACTTATTTATTTTTATGTTATACTTATATTTTTTCCTTCTTTTATATAGCTTATTGGCATAATATATATTTTAGTCCATTTTTCTGTCCCTATAACCGACTACTACAGACTAGATTATAAAGAATAGCAATTTACGTAGATCATTCTAGCTCAAGGTGATGAGGGCCTCCTCTGCTCCTTTCTGCAGAGTCCTCAGGTGATACAGAGCATCACATAGGGAGGGACAAGGGTGTATGCGAACTCTGCTCTCTCTCCCTTTTCTTATAAAGCCACTTCTATTCAATCATGGTATTTATTTTTTAAGAGATTTTTGCTATAGGGCAAATATGCTTGCTGGAGACGCAGAGAAAGAAAAACCACCCTCCAGGGGGATGGCCATGCCACAATCCTTTCTTTGTTCTCCTCCTGGGATCTTCATGCATGCACACATGTCCAGCCTGATTTTCAAGTCACTAGGCCCAGGACTTGAACCACGGTTGGTCAGGTGGAAGTCCAGGAACAGAATCTACACAACATCTGCTGGCTTTGTAATTGTATTTTTAGGATAAATTCTTAGAAGTAGAATGACTGGGTCAAGGAAGACATACCTTAAAGTTTTTTCCCCTTAATTTATGAAGAGTGTGCATGTGCACGAGAGAGAGAGAGAAAGGGAGGTTGAGAGGAGCATCCTTCATAGGGTCTGTTCACGTTGGGATCCTCTTTCTCTAGTTTTTTAGCCCTTTGGGTGTTGGGTGCTCACATACATGCCTGGTGAGTTTCAGGCTGACAGGGCTAGGGATTTGAACTGCAGTTGCCATGTGGGATCTGACTTCTTTTGAGCAGTGCATTACTGCTGCATCATGGAGCCAACCTGGAATATGCACATTTTAAAGGACAACTCATAGAAATGAATTCTTTGCCAATAGTATAAGCAAGTCTAGTTCACTTTGCGACTGATTTTGGGTTTTAGTAGATTAAAATAAAAATTTGTTTTGGCATCACTATTACCTAAATAATTGCCCAGAAATACATGTAGGATAATTATTACTAAGGTCAGTTTAGGTCATAAACATATACAGAACTGTTCTTTCAAACAAATATAACTATTAAATTTGGTATCTCTTTCAGATTCCTCCTTCAGCACAGTCACCAACACAACAGCAGGTACTTGCTAGATCTGCAGGTCCCTCTATGCAGGTACCACCTCCTTTTCTACTTCAGAATCAGTATGAACCTGTTCAGCCCCACTGGTTTTACTGCAAAGAGGTCGAATACAAACAGCTATGGATGCCTTTCAGTGTGTTCGACTCTTTGAATCTTGAAGAAATCTATAACTCAGGTAAGTACTAATCATGTATCATTAGTATCTGATCTTAAGAAATGAAGAATATTCTTGGCCTACTTTTTATGATGTTAGGTTCTTTTTTGTTGTTGTTGTTTGTTGTGAACGTTAGGTTCTTTTTTTTGTTGTCGTTTGTTTTGTTTTGTTGTTGTTTTCTTAGGTTTTTGCCATAGTGTGCTTGCCAAAGAGACAGTGAGGGAAAGTGAGAAGTCACTCCCCGGGGGGGATGGCCACACCACAATCCCTTTTTCTCCCTTCTCCTCCTAGGATTTTGGGCACACATGCACATGTGCTCAGCATGATATTGGAGCTGCCAGGTTCAGGACTTGTACCACAGTCAGCCATGTGGGAGTTTAACACCTTAACAACTATACCCCCTGCTGGCCCCAAATATTAGGTTCTTTAATACTTGTGTACCCCGCTAGACTCTGTGCCTTAAGATGGTGATGTTAAAGGCCAGCTGGTGGTATAGTGGTAAGGCCACTGATCTCACATGGCTGACTGTGTGGTTCAAGTTGTGTGCTCTATAGCTTGAACAAAAAATACCTGGTGTGTGTGTACTCATATCCCAAGAACAGAAGGGATTATAGCACCACCTCTCTCTCTGTGTCTCTATTGTACATGTGCCCTATTTAACAAAGTAAAAGAAAAAAATAAAGATGGTAATGTTAATATATAAATCCTGAGTTATCCGAGCAAGGTATTTGAAGAAATGTGTTGGTAATTTCCTTCTTTGTTTAAAGGTATTATTTATTTATTTATTTTTTGTTTAAGTTTATTTCTTCCATGAGAGAGAAAAATAGCATTCCCAACGGGAGTCTTGATGTTGTAATCCATCCCCATCCTCAGTCAGTCCAGGATCATGGGCATGTGTGTACCTGACATTTGGGGTGATAGTCAATCTCACAGAATGTCATGTCATTATTATGCCACTGTCCAGCCCCCTAACGGTGTTTCAGTTAGAGAAGTAGAGTAGCTCATGTAATTCAGGTTTCAGTTTTCCTATTTGTAGCTCTGGAAGCATTTCCCATGGAACTTTCGTTCTTAAGGATGTCTATAAAAGAAGTATTCTTATGAATTTGGAGATGCTGTTCATTACATTCACTTGAGAGAGATGGTACAGAGGAGTTTCTTAAGACTTTGTGGAGTTGTCTCCCCCCTCCCCCCAAATTATCAGGGGATGTATTAGTCAGAGGAAGATAGAGAGATAGAGAGGGAGAGGAAGAGGGAGCAAATACTCTCAGTGGAGAGTGGTCTCACCACAGTCCCTTTTTTTTCTCCATTTATCTATCTTGTCAGGATTTTCAGCATGAACATGTGCCCAGTGTGGTTTTTCAAGTTGCTGGGGCTAGGATTCAAACTGCTGTTGGCCATGGGGGATCTAGCTCCCTTAACCACTTGGATATGGAGCTGGCCCAAGATTTGGGGAAGTCTTATAGTATAGAAATACATTTCTTTGTATGTCCTGATATTAATTTGATCATAGAACTTAAAAATAGCCTATTGATACCCTTTAGAAATATACTTTATGGAGAATTGATTTTTATAGACATTACTGCTTTGATATAAAAAAACCCCAGTAATTTGAATTAGTTTTTGATCATTAAAAAAAATAATAATGGTGAGAGGTCATACATGCTGGCTAGAGAGAGACAGAGAGATGGGGAGGGGATAGGGAGAAAGCCCCCCCACCCCGCCCCGTGGGGTATGGTCACTTCACAATCTCTTTGCTTCCATTTTACCATCCTGTCTGGACTTCGGGCACACATGCATATCATGTTTTTAAAAAACATTTGGACTGGGGCCAGCAGATTGTATACTGGTTATGTTGCTGGATTCCTTCATGGCCAATTGCGGTTCAAGTCCTGGACTCTGAGGCTTGAAATTCACGCTGGGTGCATGTGTGCCCAAGATCCCAAGAGGAGAATGGAGAGGGAATTGGGCGTGGCCACACCCCCCTCCCCCAGTGATTCCCTCTCATTGTCTCTGTCTGTCTCTCTCCGGTAAGCGCATGTACCCTGAGGCAAAAATCTCTAAAAAGAAAAAATGATAATCTTTTGGGGGCTAGCAGATATGATGCTTATTGCACTGGACTTCCACATGGCTGACTGTGGTTCGAGTCCTGGACCTGATAGTCTGAGGTTCGTGCCTGGCGCATGTGTGTTCATGCCCAAAATCCCGAGAGGAGAATGAAGGAGAAGAAATTGCAGAGTGGCCATCCCCCTGGAGGATTTCTCACTTTCCCTCACAGTCTCTCTCTCTCTCTGTCTCTTTCCAGTGATCATATGTGCCCTATAGCAAAAATATCAAATAAACAAACAAAAACATTTGTTTTGGTGGGCCAACCTGGTAGCCTAGTGCTTAAGTCTCCCACATGGCGGTCTGTGATTCAAATCCCAGCCTGTAGCCTGAATAACATGCCAGTGCATGTGGCTGTATGTCTGAAATCCTGACAGGATAGAGAAATAGAGAAGGGATTGTGATGTGACCATGTTCCATATTCTCTCTCTGTCTCTGACTAGTGTATTTGCCCTCTGGCGAGTAAAAAAAAGAAATTTGGGGGCCACCAGGTGGTGTGGTAGTTAAGGGTGCTGGACTCCCACATGGGCAGCTAAGGTTTAAAGGACCAGACCTGGTGGCTTGCTTTCTCACTTTCCTTTTCTCTCTCTCTCTCTCTCTCTCTCTCTCTCTTGTTCTTTCCCTCTGATCAAATTGAAATAAATAAATAAATAAAGTGAAATAATGTAATTCTTTTTTTTTAAAACAGTTTTTTGCCTTAGGGCATGCGTATTTGCTGGTGAGAGAGACAGACAGACAGAGACAGAGGCAATGAGGAATCATCCTTGGGGGTGATCTCTTCTCCGTTGTCCTTGCAGGATCTTAGGCATGCACACCTACATGCCTGGTGTGATTTTCAAGCCACTGGGTCCAGAACTCTAACCATGGTCAACCATATGGAAGTCCAATGATGTAACTGCTCCGTCATCTACTGATACCCTATTCTGGCTATTTTTTCTTTGAGCAGCACAGATTACTCTTCAGGCTTCTGTTTTTAAATAAAAAGTAAGCTTAGTTCTTTTTCTCTGAGAATTAAACAGTCTTCATAGTTATCATTTATTTTTATTAAATATGCCTTGAGGGAACCAGCAGGTGACACAGTGGTTAGGGTCCTGGACACTCTCACATGGCTGACCATGGTTCTAGGCCTGGACCTGGTGACTGCTTCCTTACTTTCCCACTCTCTTCTTTGTCTCTCTCTGGTCAAATTAAATGAATGAATAAATAAAATTAAATAAGTAATTCTTTTAAAAAATTAAATATGCCTTGAAATGGTCAGATAAAATGTGGACTTTGTTCTGTAGTCCAGCCGGACCCCGAGAGTGTGGTTCTAGCTACAGATGGAGGGCGCTACGATGTGTACCTCTATGACCGAATGAGGAAAGCTGTGTACTGGGAAGAGGAGCCCGCTGAAGTGAGACGCTGCACCTGGTTTTATAAGGGAGACACAGACAGCAGGTTTATTCCCTATACGGAGGAATTCAGTGAGAAACTAGAGGTATGGGTGTCTTATTTTTTTATGCTTTCCTTTATTAAAGAAAAAGGCCATGCATGCATTGGAGCTTCAAAAAACACCACTCACAGTGGGACTTCATAAGATAGTGTGTCTTGATGCAAGGAAGATTGCTTTTTAAATTATGCTATCACACATGAGGTACTAATTGTGTCCACATACCTAAAGGTAGAATATATATCTTTAGGGGGACATCTCAGATCTCATAAGACACTGTATCATACCCTGGAAAGAACTTGGGCTCATGGGGTTTGTTGTTGACAACAGATGCCATACATGGATGTTTTGAGATGAATGTTTAGTAATGATTTGATTAAGCTCTGATTCATGTGAACCTTTTTTTTTTCTTTTCTTTTTTTGGAAAGGTTTTTTTTTTCGCTATAGGGCGCATGTGCTCGTCAGACAGGCAGAGAGAGACAGAGAGACAGAAAGCAGGAAATCACCCCCCAGGGGGGATGGCTACGCCGCAATCCCTTCTCCATTCTCCTCTCAGGATCTTGGGCATGCACGCACACGTGCCCGGCGTGAGTTTAAGCCACCGGGTCTGAGACTCGAATCGCAGTAGACTACATGGGAGTCCAGCGACATAGCCATTACGCTAACTGCTGGTCCCATGATTCGTGTGAACCTTTTGCCATGTGATGCTGCAGCAAGAAGGCCTTTGCCAAATGCCAGAATCTTGTTCTCAGACTTCCTAGCCTTCCATAGCTGTGAGAAAGTAAATATGTTCATTAAAAAATTTAACACAGGCCAGCCTGTGGCATGGTAGTTGAGGCAGCTGGATCCCAGGTTGACCTGGGATCTGTACCCATAGTTGGCCATGTGGCTGGCTTCCAGTAGCACAGATTGGACCCAACCACATTCTTTTCACTGTTTAAAAAATTTGTCAGAAGGTTTATGTGCTTGCCAGAGAGAAAACAAGAGGGAGAGGGAGAAAGCACCCCCTGTAGAGCATGGCCACATCGCAGTCCTGTCTTCGTTTTTCTGTCCTGTCAAGATCACGGCCCTGCATGCGTATGTGCCCTGTGTATTTTATAAATTGCCAGGACCAAGATTCAAACCTCATGGTTGGCCATGTAGTTCTGCCTACATGACCTACCAGGTTACAGAGCCATCCCTCATTCTTTTAAATCATACTGTACCTATTAAAAATATTTTTTTAGGGAACCAGCAGTTAGCGTAATGGCTATGTCGCTGGATTCCCACGTAGTCGACTGTGGTTCGCATCCCGGACCCAGTGGCTTAGAACTCACACCAGGCGCGTGTGCGTGTGTGCCCAAGATCCCGAGAGGAGAATGGAGGAGAAAGGATTGCGGTGTGGCCATCTCCCCGGGGGGGTGATTTCTTTCTTTCTCTCTTCCTTTTCTTTCTTCTTTTCTTTCTTTCTTTCTTTCTTTTTTTCTTTTCTTTTCTTTCTTTTCTTTTCTTTTCTTTTCTTTCTTTCTTTCTTTCTTTCTTTCTTTCTTTCCTTCCTTTCTTCCTTTCTTCCTTTCTTCCTTTCCTTTCCTTTTCTTTCTTTCTTTCTTTCTTTCTTTCTTTCTTTCTTTCTTTCTTTCTTTCTTTTCTTTTCTTTTCTTTTCTTTTCTTTTTTCTTTTCTTTTCTTTTCTTTTTCTCTTTCTTTCTTTCTTTCTTTCTTTCCTTTTCTCTTTCTTTCTTTCTTTCTTTCTTTCTTTCTTTCTTTCCTTTCTTTCTTTCTTTCTTTCTTTCTTTCTTTCTTTCTTTCTTTCTTTCTTTCTTTCTTTCTTTCTTTCTTTCCTTTCCTTTCTTCTTGTTGTAGGTCACATACACTCACCAGAGGTTGGGATAGGGAAGGTGAGAAATCACCTTCCAGGGAGGATGGTCATGCAGCAGTCCCTCCTCCATTCACTTTTTGGGATTTTGGGAACACATGCACTCGTACCCATCATATTTTTTAAGCTGCTGGGTCTGCAACTTGAACTGTGCTCTTGACTGTGGGATCTAGCTGCTTCAACCACCATGTCACAGGCTGGCCTCTTTTTAAAATTTTTAGTGAACATAGATATTTTCTCACACTGTGGAAGCTGGGAAGTCTGAGGTCAAGGTTCTGACATTTGGCCAGGACCTTCTTGCTGCAGTGTCACATGGCAAAAGGAGGAAGGGCAAAGAGAGACAAAAGATCTGAACTCACCTTTTTATGAAGGGTCTTTGGAAAATTCATGGAAATATGTATTATGAAAAACTGCGTGTGACTTTTTTTTGTTTGTTTGTTTCCCAGCCTCATAAAAGAACTATAGATTTCACAGCCCAAACTCCTCAAAGTCTGCCTGGGCCTGTGACACATGAAGGTTTTGGTGGTACTCTAACTTTTTTGGTATAAAGATAAATAATTTTATTACCGGGAGTACAGGATGCCCTGGTTTTGTTAGAGGCTGTGTTGTAGGAAAGCCTGTGTTGGTATGTCAAGTGCTGGCCAGTCTCAGTGCCTTTAGATACCAACTCTGAAAGCAATAAGCCTGTTAAGCCACCCAGTTTGTGGTACATTGATACAGCAGCTCTTGGAAAGTAGTAGAATGTTGAGACTTGGTTTTATTCTCTATATAATGGGGATAAGATACTTCGTTAAAGTTGGTTTCTTCCATAAGAGAGAGACAGAGACAGAAACAGACACACCTCCAGCTGGTTCCTTACAGCTTGATCTATCCCTGGTCTTAGCCAGCCTGGATATTTGGTGTGCTTAGGGAGGTGTCTGGAGGCAAACCCTAGAACCTTTACCATGTGAGTCCAGTTGTGTTATCACTGCTCCGCCACCTGGCCCTTGGGATAACATTTAGGGGTGTTTGAGAATAGTTACTTAAATGAGGCAATGTGTGTAAGGTGATGAAAAAGTATGGTACGGAATCAGTTGATGTTACTGCTATTTGTATCACCATCAGAGTTACCATTTTTCTCCATACTTTGTGTCAGTGTGGTATAGGTTTCTCATAGTGGATTATGTTTCCATTGTTGTAGGCCGAGTATAAAAAAGCTGTAACAACAAATCAGTGGCATCGCAGATTAGAGTTTCCAAGTGGAGAGACAATTGTCATGCATAATCCAAAGGTAATAATGTTGTTTGTTTAAGATATTAAAGTGTTAGGTTCATTTGAATAATTATTTTATTGTATGTGTTTGATAAATGTTCATTTCTAATAACTTCTACAACAGGGATACTTGAGGGGACTTCAGAAAGTTTATGGAAAAATGCAATTAAAGTATATGCTTATTGTGTAAAAAATGTTTAATATTCTTGGTGCCAGCAGATGGCATAGTGATTAAGGCACTGGTCTTTCATATGGCTGACTACGGTTTGAGTCCCGGATCTGAAGGCTTGAAATTCGTGCCAGGCATGAGTGGGTCTGTGCCCAAAATCCTCAGAAGGAAATGAAGAAGAAGGGATTGTGGCGGGCCATCCCTTCTAGGGGGTGATTTCTCTCTTTATCTCTCTCTGTTTCTCTCTGTCTCTGGTGAGTACATGTGCCCTATAGCAAAAATCTCTCAAAAAATGTTAGATATTCATGTGTAGTTTCGTAATGTGCATTTTCCATAAACTTTGTGAGGACCCCCTACTATTTATAGCAAATACATTGCTTTAAAATTGTTTTCTATAGTTTATGTTTGTGGTGGAAACAAATCCACAATTAAAATTTTTCTCATGAGTTTATTTATGGCAACATGTTAACTGAAGCTTAAAGGATTTTGCCACACATGTTTTTATAAGACAGAGACTCTTCAGTTGCAGGTAAGTTTTCCTTGTGTAAGTGTGGAGTTTTATGTTAGATTTTTAAAATAAAAATATATTATTTACGATTTAGTTGTATGATTTTCACATAAATATTGGAGATAATAGAATTAATTTGCTTAAATTTGAAAGGTAATGAAGACTAGCTGAGTCTTTTGGGGGAACAGTACTAATGTTTGCTTTACCAACTGTAACGTAAAGTGTAGTCTATTATATACATTTCTTGTTATGTAACATTGCTTAAAATAGTGGGAAGGAATTTGGAAATGAGCTCTGTCATAAACCTTTTGTATCTTGAAGGTTATTGTTCAGTTCCAGCCTTCCTCTGTGCCAGATGAATGGGGAACCACACAGGATGGACAAACAAGACCCAGGGTTGTAAAGCGTGGAATTGATGATAGCCTTGATGAAATCCCAGATGGTGTGTATAATAGTTTATGACTAAGGTCTTTTTAAAAAGAATTTGCCAGGGGATGCATGTGCTTACCAGAGAGAGACAGAGGGAGAGGGAGAAAGCACCCCCATAGAGAGCATGGTCACTTCACAATCCCTTTTGCTCCTTTCTCCGTCCTGTTGGGATTTGGGGTATAAATGCACATGTGCCCAGTGTGTTTTCCAGTCTGCTGGGGCCAGGATTCAAACTGCATGGTTGGTCATGTGAGATCTGGCTTCCTCAACCACCAGGCTAGGGGGCCAGCCTGACTCAGGTGTTTTTGTGTTCTCTTTTTTAATATCATTCTTCAGAAGGATGAAAAAACACAGTTATTAAGATTATCTGCCATAGCATGCAGAATTTAGCCAGTTTGATCACGTCCTTTTTGACTTTATTACATTTATATTTGTGTGCATATACGTGGTGTGATATTATTTGAGACAAGTTCTTGCGATGTTTTGATTTTTCTGCCTCAGCCACACAAGCAGCTGGCATTCATATTCTGAAATCTGAGGAGTAATTAGGGTAGAAAAATAGATGTATTGATAATTTCGACATGTTACTATAGTGTTTGTGAATCTAACTAATCAAGGAAAAGGATTTTGGGAAAAGACTTTGAAGTTTTATATTGACAATATCTTCTCCACGTGGGCCAGGTGTTCTGAGAGGGTTTTTTGTTTTTGTTTTTGTTTTTTGCTATAGGGCACGTGCGCTTGACAGACAGACAGAGATAGAGAGACAGAAAGCGAGAAATCACCCCCCAGGGGGGATGTCCATGCCACAATCCCTTCTCCTCCAGTCTCCTCTTGGGATCTTGGGCATGCACACACATGTGCCCGGTGTGAGTTTTAAGCCACTGGGTCTGGGATGCGAACCGCGGTCGACTACATGGGAGTCTAGCGACATATCCATTACACTAACTGCTGGTCCCCAGGTGTTCTGAAGTAATCACAAAGTTATAGAGCCTCCACAGGTACAGGACTGCTGATCTTTATATGCTGATAGCCTCAGGGAACAGAGAGCATGTTTCCTCTATTTTTTGGTCAAGTTCACTGTTATTTGCCAAGGAGTACCAATTGTTCTAATTTGCTAGAGTGTAATAAGGCTCGTTTACTTGGAAGGATCATGAATTTCTATAACAAGCTGCCATGACATAAAGGATACCTAAAATAGTGCTGTTTAGTTGAGAAAACCCAGACACATTCTTGGTTTTAATGTATGTATGTATTACTATTTTAACAGGAGAAATGCCTCAGGTTGACCACTTGGTGTTTATGGTACATGGCATCGGGCCCGTGTGTGACTTGCGCTTTAGAAGCATTATTGAATGTGGTAAGTATTAATCATGTTTTATTTAATGCAATGATCTGAGACCTAACAAGAGCTTTTTTTTTTTTAAATAAAAAATTATTTTACTTAACTTTTCTTTCTTTTTTTTTTTTTTGGAGAGATTTTTTCCACTACAGGGCACGTGAGCTCACCAGACAGACAGAGAGAGACATAGAGACAGAAAGCGAGAAATCACCCCCCCAGGGGGGATGGTCACACTGCAGTCCCTTCTCCTCCATTCTCCTCTCAGGATCTTGGGCACGCACGCACATGCACCCGACGTGAGTTTTAAGCCACCTGGTCCAGGACACGAACTGCGGTCGACTACGTGGGAGTCCAGTGACATAGCCATTACGCTAACTGCTGGTTCCCTTAACTTTTATTTATTTATTTTTGCCAGAGAGGGACAGAGCGAGAAAGAGAGAAAGTGAGAAAAAAAAGCCGCTAGGTCCAGGACATGAACTGTGGCTGGCCATGTGGGAGTCTAGCTTCCTTAACCACCACGCCACCAGAAGAGCTTTTTATTGGTGAATTTTTTTTTTCCCCCATAGGTCTTGTGCGCTTACCAGAGGGACAGCAAGAGAGACAGTGAGAGGGAAAGTGAGAAATCACCCCCTGGGGGGATGGCCACACCACAATCCCTTCTCCTCCACTGTCTTCCTGGGATATTGGACATGCACACACACACACTCCTGGCATGAGTTTCAAGCCACTAGATTAGGGACACAAACCGTGGTCGGCCACGTAGGATTCCAGCAATAAAACTTTTATGCCATCTGTGGCTCAGAGACATCTTTTAATGGAACCATGAATCTACTTAGTTGACTTACTTTTTTAAAGTTTTATTTTTATGTGTGAGTACTTCATATTTTTTGAATACTCGGCATATTCCAATTTTCTTGCATCAGTTGTACCGTTTAGCCCTCATAAATAAACCTTTGCGGTATAGCTGCAGTCACTGTAATCCCTGCAGTAGGTGGGTTACTAAGGCCTGAGAGTATATCACAGTTGGTAGACTTTGGCCTGATACCTTACAGCAGGTAGGTAAGAGTCCAGTCCTTTTTATTTTTTAGAGAGATTTTTTGCTGTAGGGCGCATGTACTCACCAGAGAGAGACAGACAGAAAATGGGAAATGTCCCCCAGGGGGATGGCCATGCCACAGTTCCTTCTCTTTCATTCTCCTTTTGGGATCTTGAGCATGCACGCACAGGCTCTTTATGAGTTTTTTAAGCTACTAGGTCTGGGACTTGAATCACAGTTGACTATGTGGGAGTCCAGCAATGTAACATTATGCCATCTGCTGGTCCCAGGTGTCCAGCCTTTACACAGGGTGCCATGCTGCCTTTCAGTGGTTTCCAGGCCCTCATGTATATAATATTCCTTTAAAATAATGAAAAGTTAAAAAGAGCTCCCTAAACCCTGATTGTTAATTATTTTATTGAATAAATAGAAAGTATCTAATTAAAAAGAAAGTATCTTTATTATTTAAAAAAAAAAACTGGCATATTTTAGGTAATAGGACAATCTAATGAATCTATTTAATCTTCCCTGATTTTTTTTTTTTTTTTTTTTTGAAGTGGATGATTTTAGGGTGGTTTCTCTCAAATTGCTGCAGACACATTTCAAGACGTCTTTGGATGATAGGAAAATAAGCAGAGTGGAATTCCTTCCAGTTCACTGGCACAGTTCCTTGGGTGGGGATGCCACAGGTGTCGATAGGTTTGTGCATTTTGATGACTTGCTTTTCGGATCAGTCAAACTTAGATTCAAAGTTTAAACCACAATAGGAGGTAGCTTATTATGACTTCAACAAATGTTTCTTTTTAAATATTATATCTTTACTCTGCTATATGATTAAATACTGGCTGTAATACTTACATGCTGCTTTTTTGTGTGTATGTATGTTTTAGTCCTATTATAAATATTTAAGAGAATCTAAGGAATATTAACTGGTTTTAAAATGCTATTCTATCTATAGTGGTTTAGATAAGGGGCTGTCATGTACATTACTATCTTTGACTTCTCCAGGATGCCCTTTCCACTACGTAACAACCATAGATATCTCCAGAAATTGCCAGATGTTCCCTTGGGGGTAAAATTGCCCTTCGTTAGAACCACTTATTTAGACTATTGTTTCTTTTTTTAAAAAGAATTATTTTATTTAACTTCATTTATTTATTTAAAATTTTGACCAGAGAGGGACAGAACGAGAGAGAGTGTGAAAGTAAGTGAGAAAGCATGCCACCCCAGGATGGGGACTCAAACTGTGTTCAGGCATGCGAGAGTCCAGCACCCTTAACCACCATGCCACCTGCTGGCCCTAGACTATTGTTTCTTAGTGGAGATGCTCTTGGCATGATAATTCTTTGTTGTGCAAGATGATTATATTATAGGCCATTTAGCATCCTTAGTCTAAATGACACTAAATTCTAGCTATATACTCACCAGGCACTGTGACAACTGAAAATGCCCTACTCCATTTTTGAATAGTCCTACTTGAGAACCACCAATATAGGTAATATTTATGATAGCATATAGATTAATAACATATCTGGATTTTAGTGAATATCATAATGTCTCAAGACATAGTTTAATAAAACTAATCCTACAACTAGTATTTTGTGTCTGTTAAGCCCTATTATGAGAGGTTTCTTTTTTTTTAAATTCAGAAGCAATTATACCGTTTTAATCCTTTAAAAATTATTTATTTAATTCCATTTTTTATTATTATTTTTTAATTTGACCAAAGACAGAGAGAGAGAGAGAGAAAGTGAGAAAGCAAGCCACCAGGTCCAGGACCCAAATCACAGTTGGCCATGTGGCAACCCAGTGCCGTTATCCACCATGCTACCTGCCGGCCCCCTCATTATCTTTCTTTTCTTTTATTTCTTTATTTATTTTAAAGAATTATTTTATTTAACTTTATTTATTTACTTTAATTAGACCAGAGAGGGCCAGAATGAATGAGAGAGAAAGTAAGAAAGCAAGCCGCCAGGTCTGGGACTTGAACTGTGGTAGGCCATGTGGGAGTCCATACCCTTAACTACCATACCACCTGCCAACCCCTTTATCTCTCTTTTCTTTTTTTTTTTTTTTTTTTTTTTGATCCTTGTTTTCTAAAAACATTTTTTAAGGAATTACTTAACTTTATTTATTTATATATATAATGTGACCAGAGAGGGACAGAGAGAGAGAGAGAGAGAGAGAGAGGGAAAGGGAGAAACAAGCCACCAGGTCCAGGACGTGAACCACAGTTGGCCATGTGGAAGTCCAGTGCCCTTAACCCCTATGCCACCTGCCGGCCCCTATTTTCTAAAAAATTTAAATCGACATGACTTTACATATTTGTGGATTATAATGTGATATTTCAGTACATGTATACACTGTTAATATCAAATCAGGGTAATTAGCATATTAATCACCTCCAAAATGGACCATTTCTTTGTATTGGGGGTGTTTTCTTTCTCTAGATGCTCATGACCTTGGTCTTAGTCATTCTCAAATCAGGGAAGGTGTTCATTCCATTTAGTTCCTTTGTTATTTCATATGACATTCTTTTGTCCTTTCCACCCACAAGTTTGTCAGATACCCAAATTTCCAATTATTTGGAAGAAAAATGGAAGCATAGGCTTTCTTTTTTAAAAGTAAATTTAGGATATTTTCATATGACTTAGTTTCTGTAGCAATTCAGAGAATCTCACAGTTCATAGAATAGTTATAGATACATATAACTTTTTTGCTTTATCATTAATTTATAATTTATCTATAGAGTCAAGTAATCTGTGGATATTTTGTGACTGTATTTTCAGGAAGCAGAATCTAAAGTTTTATAAATCTTAGATTTAAGGGGGTTACTGACTATACTTTTTTTCTTTTTAAACAGGAATATTAAGAAAATCACTTTACCAAGTATTGGTCGGTTTCGTCACTTTACCAATGAAACCTTGCTGGATATTTTATTTTATAATAGCCCCACCTACTGTCAGACAATTGTGGAAAAAGTGGGAATGGAAATAAACCGTCTGCATGCACTCTTTATGAGCCGAAACCCAGACTTCAAAGGAGGGGTCTCTGTTGCTGGTCACAGTTTAGGTAAAACTGTCAAATACAAACATTTTAAACATAATTTTTGTTACCATCACTTCTTTTAGTAGGTGTGACATTGTTATTGCAAAGTTTAGTTAGAGATCTTAAGTTTTATGAAGGGCAGAAATGAATGCTTTGTGTTTAGATTCTGCCTTTGTCATTCACCTCTGTTATTACTTAGGACTAATATATTTTAACATATTCTCCTGCTTGATGAAATGAGAATATTGATGATTAGGACTTGATTAACACTTAACTTTTGTATGAATACTGCCTAGGGACTTGGAAAGTAAATAGAATTTATACATTATAAAGCAAATACATTGTAAAGCAAAATGTTTCTTTTTCTTAAGGTTCCTTAATATTGTTTGACATCCTTTCTAATCAAAAAGATTTGAAGTTATCAAAGACTCCAGGGCCTCTTGCTGTTGCTAATGGAGTTATGAAGCAGCCACATTTTCAGGAAAAGCAGGTATGTCAGACGTGACCCAGTTAACTTTTAGATTTAGAGTTGAACTATTTTTATATATCAGAGGACAATGAAGTATAAAGTGTAATGGAATCATAGAATTTGTTGTTTGAGTTTCTCATTCTTTTTCCTTGTGGATTATTGGGTCATCAGAAAAGTCATGATGTATTTTCCTATGCAAAAATACATCATGACTTTCCAATGAATCAATATAAACTTAAATGTGTAAATTTATGATTAAACATGTTTTTATTATTATTATTATTATTGTTAATTTGACCAAAGAGAGACAGGGGGAAAGTGAGAAAGTACACTGCCAGGTCTGGGACTTGAACTGCTAGCGGCCATGTGGGAGTCCAGTGCCTTAACCACCATGCCACTGCTGGCCTTGTAAATTTTTTATTTTTAAAGATTCAAAGTATATGGTAGGAAATGGGAGCATGAGTGATTTATTAAGTTTATATACTTTTCAGAATTTCAATCTTTTGATGGCGAAGTACTTAAAATGATTTATTGATAAAGCAAAATTAAGATTTTAAGATTTTTTTTAATAGATAAGGAGACATTTTGTGTGATTTTGAAGCTTTGTAATGAATGTTTTCACTATTTTATTTAAAGGTGCCCGAAGAGCCAAAGCCGCCTTTGGATGAGTCATGTGACCTTGATGTTGAAAATGAAGAAGTTCTAACTTTGCAAGAAACCTTGGAAGCATTTAGTCTCTCTGAATATGTTAGCACTTTTGAAAAGGAAAAAATCGATATGGAATCTCTGGTATTAATGATAGTTTTATTCATTTTTGTTTCAAATGTTTTTTTTCTGTGTATAAGATTGACAGTTAAGACTAATTACATACGCTTTCATCAGAATATATTCCAGATAAATCAAAGGCTTAAATGTTTGAAAACATTGAAAAATAGGGGACCAGCTGTTGACTTAATGGCTATGTCTCTGGACTCACATGTAGTCAACCATGGTTCGAGTCTTGGACCCTGTGGCTTAAACTGAATGCCGGGTGCATGTGTGCCCAAGATTCCGAGAGGAGAATGGAGGAGAAGGGATTGCTGCGTGGCCATCCCCCCAGGGGGTGATTTCTTGCTTCCTGTCTCTCTTTCTCTCTCTCTCTCTCTGTCTTCTGGTGAGCGCACATGCCCTATAGCAAAAACCTCTCCAAAAAAATATTTTTTTTTTCTTTAAATCTGGGGAGGCGTTTCTAAATATGACACAAAAACCAGAAGCCATAAAAGAAAAAAATTGCATAGCACTGGATACCATAAACAACATCTAAAGGCTAGTGAGTGATTAGAAAATACTTAGAACACATATAACAGAGGGCCTTCTTTTTTTTTCCCCCTTATGTCTGTAGATTTTTTTTTTTTCATTGTCAGAGGGGTGTATGTATTTGCCAGAGCAGGAGGGAGGGAGAGAGTGAGCGAGCAAGAATGAGCTCCTTAGTGGGACATGGTGATGCTGCTATCTTTTTTCCTTCATTTCTGTCTTTTCCTTTATTTCTCCATCCTGTCTGGATTCAGGGCATACACACACATGCATCCAGCATGTTTTTCAAGACACCAAATGAGAGATTTGAACTGTGTGGTTGACCACATGGCATCTAGCTCCCATGACCACTAGGTCATGGGACTAGCCTAAGAGAGCTTATTTCTTTAATCAAAGTTTCTACAGATCAGTTACAGAAAGACTTTCAGTGTAATAGGTAAATAGGCAAAGAATATGAACATGAGTTATAAAAAAGGAAATGACAGATACCTGCTGCTGCTGCTGCTGCTGCTGTTTTTTTTTTTTTTTTCTTTTGTTTCCAATTGCCAAAGTGTGTGGACTCATATCAGAGAGAGAGAAGGGGAGAGCAAGAAAGCATCCCCCACTAGGGTGTGGTCCCTCTGCCACCCTTTTCCATTTCTCCTTGTCAGGATTTAGGCATGCATGTGCATCATGTGCCTGATGTGTTTTTTAAGCCACTGGAGCCAGGATTTGAACTCCTATTGACTATGTGGGATATGGTTCCCTTAACCACATGCTCTAGAGCTGGCCCACAAATAGTTTCTTGTCAAATGAAAATGCCTAAGAGAAATACAAATTGAAATTTCATTTTTCTTTTAGCTTATCAAATAGAAAATTTGATAATATTTTGTTGTCAGGATGAGGGGAAATAGGTACTGTTAGAAATTATTGGTCAGAGTGTAAATTGGTATAACTGCTGTGAAAGGCAATTTGACGATATCTTTTTTTTTTATTTTTTTATTTGCCAGAGGGTGAATGTGCTCACCAGAGAAATAGAGAAGAGAAAGCACTTTCCATGGGGCATGGTCAAGCCACAATCCCATCTCTTATTTCTACATCCTTTTGGGATTTTGGGCTTGTGTTTATACATTCCTGGCCTGTTTCTCAAGCTACTGGGTCTGAGACTTAAACTGCATGGTTGGCCATGTGGGATCCAGCTCCCTTAACCCCGGGCCTTCTACTGATGCAATATCTTTTAAAATATAAAAATTACAGAACCAGCAGATGACGTAATGGTTATGTTGCTGGACTCCCACATAGTCAACCGTGGTTTGAGTCCTAGACCCGGTGACTTAAAACACACTGAGCATGTGTGTGTATGCCCAAAATCTCGAGAGGAGAATGGAAGGGTAGGAATTGCAACATGGCTATACTCCAGGGGTTGATTTCTCACTTTCTGTCTCTCTATCTATTTCTGTTGACTGCACGTGCCCTATAGGAAAAATTTCTCAAAAAAAAGAAAGACTGAAAAATAAAATATATAAAAATTACATACCTTTCGTCCCAGCAGTTTTACTTATGGGAATATTTCCTGTAGAAAAATATTTGCATAAGAATATTTATAACGATACTCACTTCAAAACTCTGTGTTGGGTTGTCAGAAAAATCATGATGTATTTTTCTATGTGAAAGTGTGTCATGATTTTTTCAGCAACCCAATAATACAGCAAAACCTTAGAAATACCTTTAGTGTCCAGTAGTATAGCACTAGTTAAGTCATTTATGGTACATCCATAGAATGGAGTATCCTGCAGCTATTGAATGATGAGGTAGCGTCAGAGATACTGATTTCTGTGTTACGTTGCATGAAAGGAACAAGGTTTAGGCTGTAGATACGCAGTATCCCCACACGGTAGGATACACCCACAAAAGAATATGTAGATGATGTGTGTATATGTGTGTGTTTATGTATATGTATGTGTTTCTCTCTTTATCTCTCTGAAAGGAGAGCAAATTACATTCATTGTCTGATACTGGGAGAAAAACTGGTTGGTTGGGACAGGGAATGGAGGGGAGCTTTGGAATTTTGTATGTGTATTTTGTGTTAAAAGCTAATAGAATGACTTAGGTATGGAGATTTTAATAGCTTAAAGTAATCTCTGATTTAAAAACAAAAACAAATGAATCAACTTTTAAAAAATATACTGACTCAAGGCCAGCAGGACGCATGGTGTAAGGTGTTGGATCCCACGTATCTGACTTGGTAGTTCAAGTCCTGTATTTGGTGACTTGAAAAAAACACCAAGTGCATGTGATGTGTGCCCAAAATCCTGAGAGAGGAATGGAGGAGAAGGGAATGTGACATGGCCGTCCTCCACTGGGCGGGGGTGAATCCTCACTTTTCCTCTCTCTCCAATGCGTGTACGACACCCTATAGCAAAAACTAAAAAAAAAAAAGAAAAAAGAAAATAAATTGACTAGCCTTCAGTTTGCTTTAGATGATGTGCTTTCTTTTTATAGTTTTTATATGTCTATTTCAGTTCAGATTGATTAGTTAATGTACTTGTTTCCTTTTTTAAAGCTTATGTGTACAGTCGATGACCTGAAGGAAATGGGAATACCCCTTGGACCCAGGAAGAAGATAGCTAACTTTGTGAAACATAAAGCAGCCAAACTGGTAAAGTTCATCTGTGCCATCAAGAAAAACCAAAACTTACTGTGTGGCCTGCTCATTTATGTTTTAGAAATTTCTAATACCACTATGGTTTAGGTGAGCTAATTTGCTAGGGTGTCAGTGGAAGCTCAGATTTTGGAGTTAGTCAGAATTGGGTTTATATCTAAATTAGGCTAATGGATCATCCTAGTTTTACTGAGAGAGTTCCCTGGGCAAAGGATGTTGAATTTGTTTTCATGTGTATGTGTTTTAATGAGAGTGGTGGGGGTAGAGTGTGGAAGAGAAAGGGAAATAAGTATTATTTTTAAAAAGAATTATTTATTTAATTTTGCTTATTATTTTTAAAAGTTTGCTGTAGGGCTTATGTGCCTATCAGAGAGAGAGAGACAGAGAAAGAGAGCAAAAGCGTGAGAGAGAGGGAAAGCAAGAAAGCAAAATACCATGCCAAGGACTTGAACCACGGTTGGCCATGTGGGAGTCCAGTGCCCTAATCCCCTAATCGCCACACCACTTGCCGCCCCCCCCCCCAGCTCATCTTTTCATCTTTTGAACTTTTGTGGTTCTTTTATTTATAATGCTTATTTAGAACTTAACATATGCTACCTCTTTATGTGAATTATGATCATAAAGTCATAGGACTGATTTTTTTATGGTTAGTTTAAGGAACTGAGTCATTCAACAATTTTTTGAATACCTCTTTTCGTTCAGTCACCTTGCTTAATTCTTGGAATTTAGATATGAAGCAGTGATAGGCAGTCTTGTTAGGGGTAGAGAGTTGACTACAAATAACAACACATCAGTCCTTTTACAAAGTGAGGTTAGTGGTGTCCAGAGGTGGACAAGGTGGGGGACAGTTCTGGCTTGTTGAGAAGGTGGCTGGAGTTGTAAAGAGACTTCCCCAAGCTATTGGTGCTTGAGATTGCTAGAAGGGTAGGATCAGAGGACATGGTCTTCTAGGAGCGAACATGTTTGTTTAAAAGTTCAGCTTGCTCCTGAACTATAAAATACCAATTTGCTTAATCAATTTTATCACAAATTGTAACTTAGAACCAAAACATCTAATTTTTTTCTCCTTCCTTCCTTCCTTCCTTCCTTCCTTCCTTCCTTCCTTCCTTCCTTTCATTTTGCCAGAAGGTGCAGTGCGTGTGCTCCCTGGAAAAGATGGGGGTTGGGGTGGGAAGCACTCCCTGTAGAGGATAGGCATGCCCTCCTCCCTTCTCCTTCATCCATCCTTCCTTTGGAATTTTGGGCATGTACACACACATGCCTCGCCTGTATCTCAAGCTACCAGATCTGGGACTTGAACTGCACAGTTGGCCCTGTGGGATCCAGCCACTTTGACTATCTTACCACTTGCTGGCCCCATCTATCTGTCTGAATTTAAATTTTTTATTTTTTCTCTTTAGTTTTTTGCTACAGGGTGCATGTGCTTGCTTGAAAGAGACGGTTGGGGGGTGGGGGTGGGGTGAGAAATCACCCTCTGTGGGGATGCCATGCTAAAGTCCCTTTTCTTCCATCCTTCTCTTGGGAGTTTGGGTACACGTATGTGTGCCTGATGTTTTTTCCAGGCTCCAGGTCTGGGACTTGAACTGCATGGGTGGCCATCTGGGATCTAGCTACTTTAACTTCCATGTCACTTTCTGGCCCCTCAATTTTAATTTCTTTTTTTTTAAAGGAGAGATTTTTGCTATAGGGTGCCTACACTTGCCAGCGAGACAGAGAAAAAGTGAGAAATCATCCCTCAGGGAGGTGACTACACTAATCCCTTCTCTATTTTCTTCTTAGGATTTTGGGCATGCATACATATGCGCTTGGCATGAGTTTTAAGCTGCTGGGTCTGGGACTCAAACTGCAGTTGACTACGTGGGAGTCCAGCAACATAACCATTATACCATCTGCCTGAGCCCTTAGATTTTAATTTTAACTTGCTTGTAAATTAAAAAGAATTTTTAAATGTGCCATAAACCACATTATATATTTTTAACCTTGAGCACATCTATAATAAATGAATTAAAATATTTTTCCTTTCATGAGAAACAGAGAGACAGAGACTTCTAATGGTTTCTACTATGTGTGATCCTCCCTCCAGCCCTCTAGCCAGATAGGATCTTGGATGTGCCTGGTGTGTTCAGTTTGACCTAGAATCTGACCCCTAAGCTTTTCTATGTGGCTTCAATATCATACAGTGGCACCCTGTCACTTGTGTCACTGTAGTAGGCCATAATAAATAGATTTTTAAAATAATTATTTTATTTAACTTTATTCATTTTAATTTGACCAGAGAGGGACAGATTTGGGGGAGGTGGAGAGAAAGCGAGAAAGTAAGCCACCAGGTCTGGGACTTGAACTGTGGTCAGCCATGTGGGAGTCCAGTGCTCTTAACCACCACACCACTTGGCAGCCTCTGCCTTTTTAAGAAAATAATTATTTAACTTTATTTAATAATAAATTGATTAATTTTTTTTTTTTTTTTTTTGCTATAGGGTGTGTGTGCTTGCCAAAGAGAGGCTGGGGATAGGGAGAAAGTACCTCACATATTACATGGTCACATAAGTGTCCCTTCTTCATCCCTCCCTCTTTTTGGGATTTTGGGCACATTTCCACATACACCTGGCATGTGTGTTAACCTGTGGGTCTCCAGGACTCACTCATACGGTGTGTTGGCCATGTGGGATGCTGCTCCTTAACCACCAGGCCCTGGGGTGGCCCAGTAAGTGATTTTTAATGTGTTTACTCTTTCCTGTTTTTTCATTAATAGATGCTTTCTTTTGCTGTTGGATAGGCCTTCTGGCTGACAAAGAAAAGTCACAGTGTATCTTAAAGTTGAGATAAATCTGTTACAAACTTATTTTTTTTCTTATGAATTGGGTCACAGTTTCATGTTAGCTGTAAGAAGCTCCTTGTTTCAGTTTCTAAGATATTTGAGAACCACTGCTCTAGGCCAGTGGGGCAGTAAGGACAGTACCATGATTGGGTTTGTTTTAAAGAGTTTGCTTGATTGCAGTGCAGGGGTGGAATTGGAAGGGGATGCTGTTGGGAAGCACTTAGAGTGGTCATTGTAATTGTGCAGTGAAAAAGATGATAGGATTATAAACCAGGTGGGAGAAAAGAATGGAGCACCTTAAAAGACATAGGTATTTTGGATATAGAATACACACTTACAATTTGGCAGTTAAAAGCTCTTTTTCAGGGGCCAGCAGGTGGCATGGTGGTTAGGGCACTGGACTTTTTGAGTCCCAGACCTGGCGGCTTGAAAATCATGCCGTGTGTGTGTGTGTGTGTGTGTGTGTGTTTGTGTGTATGGTCAAAATCCCAGGAAGAGAATGGAGGATAAGGGATTGTGGTATGGCTATCCCTTTGGGGATTGTTTCTCACTTTCTGTCTCACTGTCTGTCTCTCTTTCTCCAGCAAGTGCACACACATGATGGCAAAAACTTTTAAAAATATAATTGTTTTTGTTCTCATTTTTTCTATATGTCAAGTTATTTCATAATTCTAGTTTATAAAGAGCTCTTCATCTCACTTGAGCCCCACAACAGCCTTCTGAGTAGATTGCCCAAGTAGTAACTACTGATGAGTATAGTGGTCAAACTAAGGTAAGGATGCAAATCTGTGTGTAGTGTTGTTCCTATACATTAGGCTTGGTATTCCATACATAAAAACGTTTATCTCCATATGTACATCCGCGAAGCAATAGCTTGTAAGAAAGACAGAAGAAAGAAGTGAGAAGTTCTGTTTTGGGCCATACATCATTTCCTTAATTGCATTCTGTAACATGAAGAAGAAAAATAGAAAGTGTTTGGTAATTCTCAAAAAATTACAAGAAGTGGGACCAGCAGAGGGCATAATGGTTCCATCGCTGGAATCCCATGTAGTCGACCGCGGTTCAAGTCCTGGACCCCAGCAGCTTAAAACTCATGCTGGGCATGTGTGTGTGTGTGTGTGTGTGTGCCCAAGATCCCAAGAAGAGAATGGAGAAGGAATTGCAGCATGGCCATCCCCCTGAGGAGTGATTTCTCACTTTTTGTATCTCTCTCTCCAGTGAGTGCACATCCCCTAAAACAAAAATCTCTCTCTCAAAAAAAGGAAAAATTTCAAGAAGGAACCTCGATTATAAACTGCAGATACTTGGATATATAAATTATGGTAATAAAAGGATGTCTTGATATAAGTAAAAATCTATACAGTGATCTTATTTTTCAAATTCAAAGTAATTGCCTTTGGACGAATCATGAAACCTCAGCCAAGTTGCCATTGATTGCTCTACATTTCTCACAGATATGAGGTGCTGCCTGATCAATAATAAGCTAATATGATTTGTCCTATTGATTTACTGTAACTGAAATAATGAGACTAAAATTAACCCAATTATTTTGTAATAAAATAAAAAAGATGGTCCATGTGCATTTTTTCCCTTTGTAAGCCATCTTAGTGATTTTCATTTGATAAGGATTAGTATTTAGTGTTAGGAATATTGGTATTCAAGTACATATATGTTGATTCACTTTGCTTTAAAATTACTATTTTTCTGAAATTTTAAAATTTATTTCACAGGACCAGCGGATGGTATAATGGTTATGTTTCTGGATTCCCACATAGTTGGCTGTGGTTTGAGTCCCAGACTGGTGACTTTAAACTCATGCCGGACGCGTGTACCCATGTGCCCAAAATCCTGAGAGGAGAACGGAGGAGAAAGGATTGTAGTGTGGCCATCACCCTAGGCAGTGATTTTTCGCTTTCTGTCTCTTTGTATATCCGTCTCTCTGGCTAGTACACATGCCCTGTAACTAAAATCTCTTCTAAAAAAAATTGTATCACCTACAAGTAACTAAGAGAGATAGAGAACAACCTCCATAGGATCTTGATGCCATCCATCATCCACTCCCAGCATCCATCTTCCTGTCATGGGCACAGGGACTATGGCCCAGTGTACTCGAGGCAGTCTTTGGATGCAAATTCGAAACCATCACATGTGATTGGCTTCATGGAATGTTGTGTTTTGGTCCTGCACTATCATCCAGCCCTTAGTTTTAAAATTATTGCAAAAACTTTTAGGTGAGCAAGACACCTCTTGGCAATAGGACAATTTATGATCTCTTTAGACAGCTCTCTTAGCAATTTAAAGTATTAAGTTTTGTGAATATAATGTAGGGGTACTGTTTCTTTTTTTTTTTTTTTTTTGAGAGTTTTTTTCTGTAGAGCACAGGTGCTTGCCAAAGAGACAGAGAGATAGAAAGCGAGAGGTCAGCCCCCAGTGGGGATGGCCATAGCACAATCCCTTCTTCATTCTCCTTTTGGGATTTTGGGCATGGATGCACACCCATGTGTCTAACATGAGTTTCAAGCTGCTGGATTCAGTACTCAAACTGCAGTCAACCATGTTAGAGTCCAGTGCCTTAACCACTACGCTACCTGCCGGTCCCACTATTTTTTTTTTTTTTAATGCATAAAACAGGTGGTGGGGATAGAGAAGCACCCTTGGCAGGGTTTCAGATCTTGTGATTCCTTGATTTCCTCTCCTCAGTCCTCCAGCTCTTCAGGTTCTGGGACCACCTCAAGCACCTGGCATGCCCTCAGACTGACTTGGGGATCCAAACTTTAGACAGCCATGTGGCCTCCAGCTTTGCAGGGCACTCGAGTTACCACTGATAGCTGGGCCATGGGAGGTGTTTCTGAGTGAGGAAGTATACTTAAACTGAGGAACCCAGAAAATGTTCTTGATTTTGGACTTTAAGTTTAATCTGCTGCTGCCTCCAAAGGGCAGAGTTAACCAACCTTCCAAAATATTAGTGGTGGAAGTTACAAGGGACAGACCGACAGTTGTACTTTTTCTGTCTTACCGTTGGAATTAACTAGTTGGACTTCGCTGATTTCTTAGTATTTAGAACTTATTAACTGATAAGACCAGCTGAGCCGACTGATTAGTTTAGGCAGTGCCGGGGTCTAGCCTCGGCAGGGGTGGGTTCTCTTGTCGGAGGTGGCGCAGGAAAGGAAGATGGAGGCCTCGGTGCCTTTTTATGCGCGTCCTGAGTCAGACACTCGCCAGAGATCACTCTCTGTAGAGTGACAACTGCTAGGAATCATTGTGCCTTTTGATTGAAAATGTGATACATGTAAGTAAATGGGTGAGGGACTATGTGTTTTAATGATTAGTTTATAAAGTTTTAACAATAGGGAACATAGGTTCTACTTAGGGTTGGATTAAGGGTAGGTTTATTGCAGTTCCGCAATTGTTCGTTTGATGTAGGCAGATCTTTATGGAATGCAGTTTTGGGATAGCAGCTCCAGTAAGCAGAGATAATTATTAGCTGATGCGGCAGCAGCCATTTTGTGATTACTGAGCACGATGCTGAGGAAAGAAAATTTTAAGTATAGATACTAGTTTTTATGGATTTTAATAAAGAATGGTACTTATATAATTTTATAGGGATCTAAAACTTTATTTAAGGAATCCTAATATATTTTAAAGGGGTGAAACTATTGTTTACTTGGTAAGGGTGGGGATAGCTTTTTTAACTAGCAGTAAAGTG